TCGTTCCAAACTCGGTCCATTCTTGTGTGACCGCAAATCCATCGCAACATACGTATTTCTACAACACTCAGTTGTTGAACATGTTGAATCTTTGTAGGCCAACATTCTGCTCCATACAACATAGCTGATCTAATCACCGTTCTATAGAACTTGCCTTTTAGCTTTTGTGGTACCCTCTTGTCACAGAGAATGCCAGAAGCTTGTCGCCACTTGATCCACCCTGCTTTGATTCTATGGCTAACGTCCGCATCAATATCTATATCCCTCTGTAGCATCGATTCCAGATACTGAAAGGTATCCTTCTTAGGCACTACTTGACCTTCCAAACTCATATCTCCCTCCTTCTGTACAACTCCACCAAAGTCGCATCTCATGTATTCGGTTTTAGTTCTGCTCAATCTAAAACCTTTAGACTCAAGGGTCTGCCGTCATAACTTTAGTTTCCTATTTACTCCCACCTGGCTTTCGTCCACTAACACTACATCATCAACGAACAACATACACCAAGGGATATCCCCTTGTATGTTCCTGGTAACTCCATCCATTACCAAGGTAAAGAGATATGGGCTTAAGGCTGATCCTTAATGAAGTCCAATTTTAATCGGAAAGTAATCTGTGTTACCATCGTTTGTTCGAACACTAGTCACAACATTGTTGTACATGTCCTTGATGAGGGTCACCTACTTTGATGGGACTTTATGTTTGTCCAAAGACCACCACATAACATTTCTTGGTATCTTGTCATAAGCCTTCTCCAAGTCAATGAAAACCATGTGGAGGTCCTTCTGCCCTCTAAACCACTCCATAACATGTCTTATTAAGAAGATTGCTTCTGTGGTTGATCTTTCGGGCATGAAACTAAATTGGTTTGTTGATATATGTGTCGTTCCTTGCAGGCGCTGCTCGATGACTCTCTCCCATAACTTCATAGTGTGGCTCATCAACTTAATTCCCCGATAATTAGTACAACTTTAGATATCTCCTTTGTTCTTGTAGATTGGTACCAATATGCTTCTTCTCTACTCCTCAGGCATCTTGTTCGATCGAAAGATATTGTTGAACATCTTGGTTAGCCATACTATAGTTATATCCCCGAGATATCTTCACACCTTGATTGGGATACCATCAGACCCATCGTTTTGCCCTCTTTCATCCTTTTCAAGTCTTCTCTGACCTTCGATTCTTGAATCCTCCGCATAAAGCGCCTGTTAGTGTCATCAAACGAGTCGTCCAGCTGAACGGTGGTGTTCTCGTTCTCACCATTGAATAATTTATCAAAATATTCTTACCATCTATGTCTGATCTCATCCTCCTTCACTAAGAGTTGTTCCCTCTCATCTTTTATGCACTTGACTTGGTTGAAGTCCCTTGTCTTCCTATTGCGAGCCCTAGCCATCTTATAAATGTCCTTCTCTCCTTCCTTCGTACTCAAACGTCGGTAAAGGTCCTCATAGGCTCACCCCTTTGCCTCACTCACCGCTCGTTTTGCAGTCTTCTTTGACACTTTGTACTTATCTATGTTGTTTGCACACCTGTCATGATACAAATGTTTATAGCACTCCTTTTTCTTAATAGCCTTTTGCACATCTTCATTCCACCACCAAGTGTCTTTCGAGTCGCATCCGCTCCCTTTGGTCACTCCAAGCACCTCTGAAGCAACCTTCTAAACGCATGTTGCCATCTTCTCCCATATGCTGTTCGCATCGCCTTCATCATTCAAGGGCCCTCTTCAATAACATTTCCCTTAAAGACCTTTGATGCATTCCCTTCTAATTTCCACCACTTTGTCCTAGCAACCCTAGCTTGTTTGTTCCCACGAGCTTGCACCAGAAAGCGGAAGTCAGCCACCACCAGCTTGTGTTGAGCGACCACACATTCTCCAGGTATCACCTTACAGTCCACGCATGTTCGTTTATCCCTCCTTGTAAGGACAAAGTCGATTTGACTAGAGTACTGACCGTTACTAAAGGTCACTAAATGAGATTGTCTCTTACGGAAAAAAGTGTTAGCTATCATCATATCAAAAGCTATGGTGAAGTCTAAGACTTCCTCTTCCTGCTGATTCCTACTACCATATCTAAAACCTCCATGAACTGCCTCGAAACCTGCACCTGATGTACCTACATGGCTATTAAGATCAACTCCTATAAAGAGCTTCTCGCTACTAGAGAGAACTCTAACCAAACGATTTAAGTCTTCTCAGAAAAGCCGCTTATCACTCTCATCATGGCCTACTTGGGGCATATGCACTAATTACGTTTAAAATCATACCACTAATGACAAGTTTAACTAAGATGATCCTATCCCCTTGCCTTCTCACCTCCACCACACCATCCTAGAGGCTCTTATCAATTAAAACTCCTACTCTATTTTTATTTGAAGTTGTCCCTGTGTACCAGAGCTTGAAGCCGGTATTGTCCACCTTCTTCGCCTTCTGCCACTTCCATTTAGTCTCTTGGACGCATAAGATATTTACACGTCTCCTAACCGCTGTGTCCACTAACTCTCTTAACTTATCTGTAAGGGACCCTGTATTCCAGCTACCTAAACGGATTCTAGTTGGCTCGACTAACTTCCTTACCCTTCGCACCCGCCGAGGTAGGTGTGAAGACCCTTGCTCATTTTGCACCACACCCAGGCGCCGATGTGGCGCGCCACTAAGGATGCGATGACCTGATCCTTGCTCACTTGACACATTGTCCATATCACGACACGACGCGTCACGAGGGTGACGACCCAGCCCTTGCTCATTTAACACCATACCCGGGTTCCGACATGGCGCGTCGCTAAGAGGGTTACGCCCCAATAGGATTCTTTTGGGTTTTATCTCTATTAAAGTGGCTAAGTTTTTATATTGGCTCGCCACGTCTAACACAACCCTCCTCCTTTACAATATGAAAAATTTTATTTTATATTCCAGTCGCAACGCACGGACAAATTTCCTAGTATTTTATTAAAAAGGAAAAAAAATCTCCTCCAATAATTTGGTAAAAGAGCTCCTTAAAAGTAAAAAATTGTCAAATATCCTCCTCAGCTTATAGATTTCAAAGTCAAGAGAACTCGGCACATCTCGCGTACCCTTTCCAGCCGCCGCTGGTATGTACCTGCCTCCATCGCCGCCACTCTGCAGGTCAACGCCGCCTGCCCAGTGCTTGCCTCTGCCGGTGTTCGGCCTTGTTTAGTTGGTCAAATTTTGGAAATTTGGCTACTGTAGCACTTTCGTTTTTATTTGGTAATTAGTATTCAATTATGGAATAATTAGGCTCAAAACGTTTGTCTCGCAATTTCCAACCAAACTGTGCAATTAGTTTTTTTTCGTCTACATTTAATACTCTATACACGTATCACTTTTTGGAAAAACTTTTTAAACTAAACAAGGCCTTCATCGATCTTTGGTCGGAAGGCATGGCCTGCTGCCTTCACGTGTGCATGGCCTGCTATCTTCACGTGTGCTGGCCGTACGCAGCTGGCCGAGCCAATCGTTGGGATCGGATCAGTGCTCGCGTCAGTGGGTGCTGAGAGTTGATGCAATTTTCTTTTTAATTTTTTATGAACAACACAATAAACCAAAAAAAATAAATATGGTCCCTGCTATAACTTTTAGAAAGTTATTATAGGGACTGTTGAAGAAGAACAAAAATTAAGGTTGTTATTTCTTTTGTTAACTTGCTAAATTAATTAGTTTAGCAAGTAAGTTATACCAAACTCCTGGAGATGCTCTAATATTAACATTTATGTCTCCATACAAATTTATTATGAAAAATATATTCTATAACTAATTTAATGTTCTTATTTTGTATTATGAATGTTAGTACTTTTTATACAACTTTAGTCAAAGTTCAAACTATTTAACTTCTCGAAAAGTGAGAATTGCATTTTTTTTTATGGACAGAGAATGTAGTGGTCAACATTATCTGCAACATTTTAATTGACAATATTTTTTATTTAAAATTATTTAGAGTCTCAAATATTCGTTTTATGTTCTGAAATCTAAATTTTTGAAATTTTTAGACGATATAGGATGGGCAAATGTTATATACCAAATTTATAGTGCTTGACTAGATCTAAAACTCTGTAGTTAAAACTTTTTGCATTTGAGATCATTTAGCAGCAAAAATATTAAATAATGCTAGTAACTTCTAGTGAAAACCTACGCAGGCTGGTTTCTACCGACAACCCAATCGAGCTGGAAAAATCGGAACTAGAGCAACCCTATTGTGTTCCTTTGTAACCTCTACTATTCAGCGCCTCTCTTGATGAGATTCATTGGCATTCTAGGTGGTCATACCGATCCTAGAGCAATCCTATCGTGTTCCTTTGTAACGGGTCTTCCGGTCAGGTGTTCATGGCTCTTGGGGTAAAGAACAAGCGTCTACACCGCATGGCTGGCTTGCTAGTCGGCTTTGCTATTTTTGTGTGACCTCAGCATATATGTTGGGCAATACTATGATACATCCTTTACGTACTAGAAAGGTAATATTAAAAAAAAATCTGAGCCGTTGATTTTTGGATTTTATGAATTATTAAATAAATTAAACAAATATAGAAAAACAAAAAAACTTCCTCCGCATGCCCCTAAGCATAAGAGCACTTTTGGGAATGAAAAGCGTGCAGTTGGCTTCTTTTGGGTGTCTTATTTTTGGATGCCACTGATGAAATTGTTGGGCATCTCTTTCTTCTGACTTCGCATAGAGCTGCTGGAACCTGATTAACCTCCAAACCCCAATTGATGGTACTCTTTTCAGTATTCTAGAAGCTTTCAAGCAACAGCTGCAAATATCCTTCTTCATGGACGTCATAAATCATCATCATCATGAGTTGGAGCATCTGGCCTTCCAGAAATGATTTGATCTTCAGAGGTCTTCCTCCAAAATACTTCTGAGTACTCAATACTTGTCGGTGCAAAGATCACTTCCTGAAAGAGCTAACTTTGCTTATGGATAGAACAAAGAAGAAACATATCTGTCAACTTCAGTTATGGATAGGAAATCTTATGTAACTTATCCGAGACTTACCTGTGCACAAAAGCAAATCCAACCAAGAAGGTGATATGAACGGGTTCAAGAATTGGTGATTAGCGCACTCTTAGGTTTCCCGTACATGCAACAGATCGAGATCTCAAGGAAGAAAACGTGTAGCCTGATGAGTCACTAACCCAGCATATGCTTCAATTCCATTTCAAACAGTTTGTTTTGATCCAACTCAAACCAAATGTCACACTCACACCATAGGAGCCAGCATGGGACTACGTACTACAGCCAAATAAGGTACATGGATACAGCATCTATATGCCTCTCCATACGTACATATTGAACGCCTGGAGGCTGGAGACAAATCCGATGCAGGCACATATATATGTGAGATATGCTCTACTCCTCTGTGGCTGCAGGATTCTTCCATGCCGCCCTGACCGGCCTAGCGGGGCGGCGCTGAGGGTGCCGGAGGCAGTCGCAAAGGCGGCGGAAGAAGTCGACGACGGGCTGGAGGCGCGATAGCAGCACGAACACCGGGGTCAGCACGCCGCCGGCCACCGTCACGATCGCCAGCGGCTCCATGGGGCCTTTCCCTGCACCTCAGATGGAGATCTTGGCTCCGGGCAATTGCACGATTATTATTTTTTTACACTCTCGGCAGACCGCTGTGTTCTTCTTGGCTCCTCCGATCGAGAGTGAGAGGAGACGCAGATTTATGCAAGAGCTCCGGGTAACCGCAGGCTGGTCTCCACGTCTATTTTCGGAGCGAGCAGTTAGTTAAGGACGCTTGGTTGAGAAAATGTATGTGGTTGTTACTTGCTTGCACTAGTTATTACAGAAACGTTCGATTTTTCGAGTGACGCTTTATATATATGAAAAAAAAACTTATAAGTCACTTGACTGCTCACAGTGCTACGAACGAGTACAGAATCACGGAAGAACATGCGCTGGTCGGAGGACCTTTTGCGATAAAATGTACTCTAGAAGTTTTTTTCGTTACATTGCTTGTGTGCACAAGTTCATCTGTACAAAGTTTATCTCAAATTTCATCTTCCATGCTTGCGGTGAACAAATTGATTGAAGACTTAGCGAAACAGTTTTGTTTGGCGGCGACGCTGCGCGGCATTCCGTGACTCCGTCGAGGCGTCGAGTGGGTGGCGAGGCTTGGCAGATCGGAGACGCTCTCCTGGTCGCCGTCCTTCCACTCGTCAGACTGTCGGAGTCCACCCGTACGATGCGACGCGAGGCGCACGCCACGAGCAGATCGAGCACCACCGCTACTTGCCTACTCACCCCATAGCGTGGCGTACCTTGCCCATGCGTTGCGGCTGTCGCGGGTGCAGGGAGGATGCGAGGCGATCGAGCGGCTGCCGGCTGGTGCTTTTGTGTAATGTATGGGACGGCCTGGCCGCTGTGGCTCGCCGCGGTGGCGGGGAGGCTCTCCGCGCGAGTGGACAAAGGAGGCGCCGAACCTTCACGCTGGTGCGCGTTTGCGCGGGTGCACCAGCGATGAACCTGCCGCCCCGTGCCCGCGACCGTTGGTCTCCTGCCTCGATCGCTTGGAGCCGTGCCTGTCCCTCAAGTGGAGGCGACCGGCAAGAGGAGGAGGAGGAGGGCGACGCGGCGCGTGGCCTCTGTCGTCGCCGGCGGGCCTCCAAGACGGTGGCAGTGCGCCAGCCGCCGCAGTCCTGAACGTCCGCCGCCGCCGCGTCCACGGCCTTGCCGTGATGCCTCGCCTCCAGCTCTGCCACTTGCCACGGCGTGTCGGCGTCTCTATCTGTTGCTAGGGCTACGGGAACGCCGGCACGCCGCCACCGACGCCTCCCGGCCGAGGTTGGCGCGGCCAGGGCCAGGCCACCCTGCCCCCGCAGCATCGCACGCGGTGATGGCCCGCGCACTCGCGGATCCTCGGAGTCGGAGACGCGTCTTCCACGGGACGCGGGTTCGAGTCGGACTCCTGGAAGAAAGCGGCGGGCGAAGTCCTGCTCTTTATAAGTGGAGCATGTCCCTAACCTAATGCCATATCGATCGCAAAGCAATCCCGAGCATCGCAACCCGACCAGAGAGCATCGACGGCGCTGCGTTCTCGTTGGAGGTCATCGACGACATCTGAGCCTTGGAAGCCCGATACGCCGACTACTTCGCACCCGGTTACTTCGAGCAATACGGCGCCGTGGGTGGGTACATCGACGACCTGGAGGTGGAGCCACTTTTTGATCACGCCGTTGCCGCCGGCACCTTCGACATGCGGTCGCCACGCAGCCAGAAGCGCGACGCCGTCCAAGGTAGCGTCGATCCCTGCGACTTCAGCGACGTGGTTGCCGTCGGAGACGACGACACGTTCTTCGGCTGCATGTGGTGGCCACTGGACCTCGAAACCCAAGACATGGACGCCTTCGATCTCGCCTACGCCGACTCTGCGCTCTCCGCCGCCGCCGCCAGCACGACGAAATTGCCATCGCCACGCGGCCAGAAGCGCGGTCGGGGCACTGCGGACGACGACGCGGGCGGGGCTCGTGGCGCGGCACGGCGCGCCCCTTCACCGTCGAGGACGCGCGGCCGGCATATGAGCCCGTCGTTGCGACGGCCCCGATGGGCTCTAGCAGCGGGAAGCGGGACGTGGCGACCCAAGTTTCCGAAGCTGACCTCCTGCTGCCGTCTTGCGGGGTGCCGTACGTCGGTGATGCGGGACGTGTCGACACAATTTCCTGAAGTCGAGGAACGGAGCGTCGACGCCTCACGGCGAGAACGATCGCCCGTGGACAATGGCCAGGAACCCGTCGCCGCGGGGCTACTGCTTTCCAGACTGGACGGCGCTGGGTGACGATTCCTTTGTACCTCCGGAGTTGGAACTGGAACTGTTTCCCGTGGACCGGACTGACGAAGGCCGCGCGCGCCGCCACTGCCACGGCAGCGTCGCGCCGGATGCAGTGGGCAACGTTTCTGAAGAAGAGCTGCAGCTGCAACAGCTAACTCCGTTCCATCATTCCACTGACTTCACCGAAGCTGTGACTGATATCTTCTACTTCTAGTTCCAGGATTACACCGCCCCAACGGACGAGGATTTCATAGACTTCTTCGAAGCTTTCTGTCAGCGACATTGCTGTTCCCAGTAAGGACGTATGCCGTATCCCTCCTACGTGCCACTACGATGCAGCGCCCTAATCCCCCACAAAAGTGGAGTACATGCCAAATCCAAATTGTGCTAATCAAATTGTTATATCATGTTATTATGTCCAAATTGTACTAACCAAATTAGCTATCACGTTACATTCTACTCAAATTACTTTAATAAAATTATATCATGTCCGATGTTGCAAAATTAAAAAGATTTTACCGTATCCAATAGATCATGCATGCATCAAATAAATCTAAAAAAGATTTTGTATATCTAATAAAAATTACCATATTTATTCTATTTAACAAAATTAAAAATTAAATTAAATATAGTTTTCACCGATTACCTCCTATAAAGTAATAGATGATCCTAACCATCCGATCTAATTAAATGGATGGCTCACAGTCATTTGGTGTGCTCTACAATGTTATAATAGCCAGTTGGCCCAATGCAAGATTCTGATTACGGGCTACAATTGGTGCTCCATCCTTACTTCAAGGTTGCGAAAGATGCAACTAAGCACTGGAGGTTACACGCCGAGCTGATGGAATCGTTGACTTAGAGGCTATTTGCACTGGCTACAACTTATGGTTAGTTGTGGCTAAAAATTAGGCAGCTAACTATTAGCTAGTATATGTTCCGATCCTCGACTTTATGAGAAATATTGAGGGCTAGAGCCAAAAAAGCCACATCCAAGGCCCAACCTATGTAGTGTCCAAAACGCTATATCGTCAGGTTCCGTTGATGTTCAACACTTCGCTCAAATGTTACCTTTGGTACTTGATGATAATGTAGTTTTGATAATACATACTGTATTTTTATTTTACTTTAAATTTAATTTTACATTTAAATTTAATACGTAATAGTTGCGTCCTTGTATTTTTCAAAAAGAAATGGATATCATGATACCATTATTATCAAGAACACGTTTCCAATGTTTACCCAACCTAAAATTTTGGACTGGTCCGCCACCGTAGCCAACTAAAGTTTCAGCGGAAAATTGTATCTTTTCCATGTGATCACGGATGAAGACGATTTTTATATGAAAATTGAATCTCTCGACGAGATCTACAACTTTCTAGTTTTGAATATTTAATTTGACGTCGTTAAGATGCTCAAAAAAATAAACAAAGTTTCAGCAGTATATTAATCACGTACAAACGCTTGTCGCATTCGAAAAATCATATCTTTGTTATATGGTGTCAATGGAGATACTTTATATATGAGAGTTATACTTCTCGATGGGATCTATAACTTTATAGTTTCACGTTTTTTCATTTGAGCGTCATGTTCGTTTGGCTTATAAGTCGTACTTTTTCAGCCAACGAATAGTATTTTTCTCTCACGACAAATTAGCCAACAGTACTTTCAGCCATGGCTTACCAGCCAAGAGAACAGGGCAGAGATTGTTAAGGGTCTGTTTGGTTCATGTTCAATTCCATGCCTGACTAGCTTTTTGAGCCTGGCTAGACTTAGCCAGGTTGGCACAAGCCAACAGCCACTTGTTTGGTTGGAATGATTGCTGAAGCCTGGCTAAGTTTTGGTTTGTTTGGTTGTTTGTTTTGCCTTGCATAGAATCACCCTATCCTAAGACTAGTAAATTTACCTGTTGACACATTTCGTCGAACATGTGACCGTCGCCATGGCCACTGCAACATCATCCGCCATGTTCGCCTCCAGCTCGCGCTCCTTCTCCCGCAGCGCCAGCGAGGCGCCCGTCGCAGCAACGCGCGCTGACACCTCGCACTACTGCTGCCGTGGCCCACTCCAGCCCCGCGCGGAGGCACTCGCACCCGCACGAGCACCAGCGCGTCCACCTCCCCACCTTGCTGGCATAGCTCCGCCACCAACAGCGCGTCCGCCGTGGACAACGGACGCCCACTGGTGGACACCGCCGCCGCCAGCAGCGCGTCCGTCGTGCACGCCGTGGTACTGAGGCTCGAGGTCGCCGTCCCTGCCGCCCTTCCGCGACGCCACCACGCCGCCGCCGCCGTTGCAGGTCAGGTCGATCTCGTGGCGCTGGCCACGCCGGCCGCGCAGTGGTATTACTACTGCGCCTGCTTGTTGCCCGTGGCGTCGGCTGACAGGAGCGCCTGCGGCTGCTCTTCGGCCAACCCGCCGGCACCGCCATAGGGAAGCAGGCACCCGGCGATTCGAGATTGGAGGAGTGAGGAGGACACAGACGGTGGTGAAGACAAAGGGAGGAGCATAGCGTGAAGTCCGATGGCCCTGGATGCGTGAAGTCTGGCGGCCCTGGATTCGCAAGCGCGGCGGCCAGAGAAGGGGAGCAGATAGCGGAGGAGCAGCGCGGGGAGGTGACGGGCGGCAACGAGAATGCACGCGAGGGCTTGGCCAAGCCTGGCCAGCGAAAAACGGATCTCAATCTCGTTTTTCGGGAGCCAGGCTAGGGCCTCCAAAGTGACTTAAAGATATTTACAGGCAACCAAACAGCTCAAAGTTAGCT